CAAAAGAAAGAAAGACATGAGTTGGAGGTTAATCTTGAAAGATGACTATTTTTTTCCTAGGTACTCTAAAAGGTTCATCTACTAAGGACTCATTGCAAAGAGATTTAATCCGCGAAATTCTGCTTTAATTCCATATGTAACATCCCAAGTGCTAAGTAAGGAAAACAGGTATCAGATACAGATTCAGAATAACGAATACATGATAAAATTTATACAACAGAACAAAATCATTATAAATCCCTTACAAATATACACGAGTTCCAACACGTACATACATTGAGCCCAGAAGTGGTTGTAAAATACAAAATAAAAAATAAGGATCACTTCTTTCACTACACTATTGGACTCATCAGAGTACGAAAACAATCATATACTCAGACTTTTGGATGCACGAGATCCTCATAGACTTCTAATGCTAGGTCAGCGTACGGTTCCTTACTTTTTTCCTCATCTAGGGGGGCATGGAAAAAGTGAGTTCAATATGCTCAATAAGAAAAAATTAAATTAAATTAATATCGTAAAATTTCAAAAGTTAATTATTTAATTTTACCATTTAACTTTCTCGTTTATCTATTTCACATTATAGAAAACTATTTATTTGTTAAGAAAACGATATGTTCACACAAAAAATCAAATATACATCATGTTAGATAATAGAAAAAATTAAATAAATCATGAAATGCTTAGATTTTCATGTCATGCGTCGCGAAGTCGTCACAACTTCCATATCTAAGGGCAGATACAGATTTCTAATTATCCAAGTGAAATGACCATATCAGATACAGATACGGCAATTTGCTTAGATCCATTTTCGGTTGGCCAAACGATAGTACGATCTATGACCAAAACTGTACCAACCATAGTGACCCTAATAGATATCTACGGTCACGACATTATTTAGCCACGTGTGACCCCTACAGATAGTGCGACACCACTCTCGTTAGAGGGTATACTGCCATCCACTAGGAGTGATCATCTTACGTCTTTTCAGACCAGATAAGGAATGGAGAAACAGATACTCGGAAGGGTAAAGGAAACAAATACCCCTCAGAAATAAAAATCCTAACGAGACACTTAATACAATATGCATGTCAATACAGATATACTTCGGACCATACATGCTTCATTCTATTTTTCTCTTTTTCTTTTCTTTTATACTTTTACTATTACAGATTATATATTATATTTATTACATGCAAATTCATCAAGTGTATGCAATTCACATAGCATATTTAAAAAAAGAATAATTCGACTCATCAAAACGCAGAGGCATACAAAATAGGCAAAATATCAATCATATTAAATTCGTTTATCTAAAAATACTCCTTAAGATATCGAAAAAAATATTAGATTTTTTATCGAAACTTTAATTTTTTTCTTTCACCATTCTCCTTTCTTTCTCTTCTTCTTTCACTATACTATTATCTTTCTCTTTCTCTCTCTCTCTCTCTCTCTAGACCTTTGAAAAATAGAAGAATGAAAGTGTGGAGAGGAAGGGAAAGGGGAAGGTAATTTATATAATTACATTTGAAGCGGCCAAATGCCTGAATAAAAAGAGTTTCCAAATTATTTTTGCACGGTAATGAATAAGATTTTACAAAGCTATTTTAATTTGATCATTAGTTTGTTGAATATACAAACATAAGTGAATGTGGGAAACACCTTTGCTTTGGTTTCAAGGAAGAAGTACTAGCATTTTTGTAAGTAACAAAAAAGAGAAAAATTGATTTAATTTCGTTAATGATTGATTTTCTTTTTTAAATATCGGAAGAAAATGATATAAAGATTTGATACTTATAAATTTCAAAAGTATTGATGTTAAATATCACATAAAATAGTGAAATAAATAAATAAATAAAAGGCATAGAGATTAAGAATGTGCAATAGTCGGTTAAATCAATAAATTGATTTGACATAATCTATTTGGTTCATCTGCTATATTTTATCAGTTTTATATAATATATTTAATTTTATATAATATAAAATA